TGTAGTGTGTGCTTGTACACACACACACACACAACACACCCTTTATCTTCTTCAGTGCTATTCTGTGACACATATAAAAGTGGTAGTTATTCATTAATTATGAATTTACCTTTCCTTGTAAGTTTCCTTCTGTTTACTTTATTTTATCCATTTTCTTAGTTTCTGTTTGTATCACAGTTTTTCCTTCTTTCTTCCTCCTCTTTCTTTCTCTCCTCTTCTCTTGCTTGGGATTCCCAAATTTATGTGATGATTCATATTTCTCTATTTGTGTTAAAATATGATGTTAAAATGCAAATTTTAAGGCCACTATGCATTTTTAAAAAGATTACTTATTAATGGGTCTCATGGAAGAATAATTGAATAAAATCCCATCTGTTTGGGCTGCAACCACAAGTTGTCATAGTTACGTCCATTTCTCTTCAACTGATCTATTTCCCTAAAGAGAAATATGCCAGTCATTTGCCAGTAGGAGCGGAGAAATAGAGGTCAACTATACGTGAGGTCAGCCAAGTTTCTGAAAGCTTCACATGTGAAAAGTGTTGATTGTCCTTTTGTTTGAAGTGGCTAGTGTCAAAGATTTTTCATTCCAATATCCCAGAAAAGTCTTCCATCTCCCATTAGGCTGTGAAGTTTGCGAAAGAGTAGATCCATAGTCTATCTAACTGCATATACACAGCTCCAGGCTTCTGGAGGCATCCCAGTCTTCAACAGTCTCCAATTGCTGGACCCTGTGATGTAAACTGTTCTTTTGTCTGTAGTACTGACAAAACCTACACAATGAATTTGGACTGAACTGATGTTGTCGGTCAAACTGCTGCCAGGTGGGTAAAAATATGACCTGGAATTACATCCCAAGGAGCTACACACAGAATGGTGTGGGAGAATTGTCTGTATTCTGTCAATCATATTTTAAATAAACGCTGATTGGCCAGGCAAAAAGTATAGGTGGGTTGACCAGACAGGAAGTAGAGGCGGGGTGATGAGAACAGGAGAATGCTGGGAAGGAGAAAGCCCATTCTTCCCAGATTCCTGCCCAGATCACCAAAGAAGCAGAATATGACCTGCCCCACTGAAAAAGGTACCAAGCCATGTGGTTAACATACATAACAATAATGGGTTGATATAAGTTATAAGAGTTAGCAAGAAGCCTGAGCTAATGGGTCAAACAGTTTATGTAACAGTAAATGTAGACTCTCTGTGTGATCTTTCTTTGGGACCCAACAATTGTAGGAACTGGGCAGAACAGAAACCCCAACAAGCCCGGCCTTCCTGTTACAACAGAATGATAACAAACAAGAAATAAATAGGAAAAGGCAAGGTCTAATAATCCTTCAGCCTTATTCTCTCTCTTCTGCCTTTCTTCCTGCTTTGGCAGAGCTAAACCGAGAGTTACTTGGCCTTTGCAGCTCTAGTCCCCACATCATGAGGCTCCAAATCCCATGATAGCATCAGAGCTGAGACTAAGGAAACAATACCTGCCAATGTGTATATTCTACAAATGCTTCATTTGTAATTGAGGAAATTTACATAAAGTGGATTTCCATGTTTTTAGCAGAATGAATTTTGACAACTATCTATGGAATAAGTCATGTAAGCCATATCTCAAAAAAACATTCATTGGAAACTTCACCTAAGAAAATCAATTCATATAGTTTAATCATTCTCAGCATGTGTAGGTAAATGTTATGTTGATTTGTGTCATGGGTAAGTTTTGCAAGCTCCTAAGCTTCATATAACTGGAATTAATGAAATATTTTTATATTTTCCACTTTTGATTAGACTTTGTTTTTCTATATGAGAAAACTAATATAATATTTTACAAATATTACTATTATTATTATTTTTCTATTATTGGTAATATATTGAATATAAGACTTATGGATTCCATTATTGACATGTTTATTTGTAACTATTTTGTCTTTAGGACAGATTTCTAAAGAGAATTAACTGTATTTAGACTGCTGACAAATATAACTAAATCTTTAGCTGAGTACAGGAACACATTGTTGGATTTCAGCCCTTGGGAAGTGGAAGCAGGAAGATCAGTAGTTCAAATCCAACTGGGAATAAGTGGGTCTCGATCAAAACAACAAAATGTTTTTACAAAAGAAGCTTAAATTATCATGTGCAATAGTTTAATATTTGAAATGGTAGCAATTCTGACTACCCAACATATTTAAATGGGTTAAATTTATTTTTCCATCCCCAAAATTTACAATAACTCCTACCTGAGGAGCATTTTAGGTCATAGACTTGGAGAACAAGAAATAAGCAGAAAAATAAAAGGGGGGGGATGGAGGTTTGTTGAATCCTCTGTGCAAAGGAATTAGATGGCTGGACATCGACTGAGCCGTCTGAAAATGCAAGTGAGTCTTCCTCTCTTGAAATTATATCAGGAGAGTTATTTAGGTGAATTGAAATTGTTAATTGGGAGACCAGTGTTGAAAACTGAGCTCATAATGATTAAAGGAGAGTCCTTCAAGCATCTATTTTTTTAAAATGTGCTTGACTCATTCACTTGGGTAAATGAAATTACTGTCAGTGACTCTTCAGGTCCTAACTTCTAATAGGCACCAAATATGTACAATTTGGCTTGCAATACATGTTTATTCAAATGCACTATATTATGTTGAAATGTTTTTCTCTTGAAATAATCAGAGTATTGCATTACCCTGGATAGATAGTGATTTATCTCTCTTAACTCATCCTTACTGTGACAAAAATCTTGAAAAAAGATTAAGAAGGATTTTTTCATGTTTACTCATTTAATTCTGATTTTTACATCTATCATAAATACAACCTGAAAATCTCAACAGTGAGGATTATATATATATAATATATATAATGGTCTTTGCAACCAGCCGTGATCACCATCTGTCAATGCAGGGAAGTATCACTCCTTTGACTTTTAGTTTGGTCCCTTGAGACACAGGTCTACGAAGATCACTTGAACTCAAGATCAGAGCTCAAGTAGATTCATGTATAAATGCAGAACAAGATGGTTCAAAGGGATCTTGTAGTTCAGGTGGGTCTCCTAATCTTTGAACTTACTAGTAGTTTGTTCCCAACAAAACCTTTGACATCAGCTGAAATGGTAGAGTGGCCCCTCTGTAGGACAGAGACACTGGTGTATTGTGTTATCAGAAGAAAATTGCAGTTACTCAAGACCACAAAAGCTCCAGGAAGTAACATTTCCCTGAATAATTCTGAATGCCATATATGTTAATAGTATATGAAGTTTTAACCAAATAATTATAAGCAATGATTCCTAAAATCGCGCGTGCGCACACACACATACACACACACACACGCATACGCGTACACACACACATCCTCACATACTCCATGTGCATAAATAATGTTGTGGAAACTGATTTTAAAAGTACACTTTCCAATTTGGAATTTATAATCTTGTCTCCCTCTTTTTGGACTTGTATTGGTTCACAGGCCTTACTCAATGCTATGTTCATGGTCGGTACCAGAAAAATATGTGAGTTGATTGATTCTGTCAACCAAGAAAAGCAATGGAATTATGGCTATCTGGCTTCACTTAGAAAGCTCTCAAATAAGATAAGCCATGATGATGTTATCAGCTCTTGCCTCCATTTTAAAAAGGAGAAAAATTGCTTCTGATTCAAAGAAATCTTTTTTTTTTTCTTGACACAGAGTGTATGTAGTCCTGATTTGTCTAGAACTCTATAGACCAGGCTGGATTCTAACTCAGAAATCTGCATGGCTCTGCCGCCCAAGGGCTAGGAATAAACTCATTGATATAAAGTCCAGCCAGAAGTCATGATTTTATAGAAAACTTATAATTCTAAATTGCTAAAGATACAACTAAAAATGTAGAATGATTTGGTTTGATATTATTAATGAACTGAAAATGGTGATACGTTTTATTGGCCTAATAGATACAAAGTTATTTGATATAAAGTTTTTTAAAATTTATTCTTCTCTCATACAGTACATCCCAACTGTAGCTTCCCCTCCTTCTACTCCTCCCATTCCTGCACACTTTCCCTCTCCCCAAGATCTACTACCTCACCTGTCTTTCCCCCCAGAAAAGAATAGGCCTCCCAGAGGCATCAACTGAACATGACTCAACAAGATGCAATAATACCAGATATAAACCCTCATGTCCAGGCTGGGCAAGGCAGCCAATAGAAGGCAAAGGATCCCAAGTTCAGGTAAAAGAGTCAGAGACACCCTTACTCCCACTGTCAGGATTCCCCCAAAAACACCAAGCCAAGAACCATAACATATATGCAGAAGATTTTAAGAAAACTAAGGTTTAAAATAATGAATGGCACTTATACAAGTGACTTGCTGTTTGGTGGCACTTGTATAGTTAATTTCTAGTGTAGCTCTTTAGCATGGACCATGCATCAGGAAAGGGCTCTGTTCAGGGCATTTGTAAATTGCTAGGATTCATATGTTAAGATTAAAGTTAATAATCTAGTAAATAGTATAAACTAAAAACATACAGCAAGCACAAACGATGACAGACACAAAATGAAAGTGCTATTTCTGGTAAATAAAATGCATGCACAAATTGATTGAGTCTGCTTTTTCCTATTCTAGGTAACACCACACATTCCAAGCTATGAAAGTTTTCTATAAAGAAAACTTCGCAGAATTTGAGGATACTGATCTGGTGCAGAACAATTCTGTATTCTGTCAATTATGTTTTAAATAAATGCAGATTGGCCAGTATCCAGGCAGGAAGTATAAGCAGGACAACTAGACAGGAAGTAGAGGTAGATCAATGAGAACAGGAGCATTCTGGTAAGAAGGAAGCTCTTTCTGCAGTCTTGTCCAGACACAAAAGAAGAAAGATGTGACCTACCCCACTGAAAAAGGTACCAAGCCATGTGGCTAACATAGATAAGAATAATGGGTTAATATAAGTTATAAGAGCTAATAAGAAGCCTGAGCTAATGGGTCAATCAGTTTATAACTAATATAGACTCTGTGTGTGATTCTTTGGAACCTGGTAGGAGGACAGAAACCAGGCAGGACAGAAACTCATGTTACACTGATCTAAGGCTTTCTTCTCTTCTTTTGACATTATTTCAGATTTTTATTCTAGTCTGCCTTTAGTACCCTGGACTTGATTTTGGTTGATGTGTAAGCAAGACATTCTGTTCACAGATATCAAATATCTCTGAAAGATTTTAGTCTATAGGAATACTATGGGAAGATAGCATTAACAGCATTGTTAGTCATAAAAGAGGTATTTTTCTCCTACATATGTGTTTTAGAAGATGGTGGAGGGGCATCAGCATCCATTCAGATTTTCAGGGTTATAAGGTGCACCAAGTGAGAAAAAGAGAGGTAAAATGGAATCAGAGTCACTATAGCAACTATGCAAGGACAGCTCCATGCTATCACATATGAGTTAACCTGTTTTGTATAGTAATATCTGAACACCATAATAGGATAATTGGTGAGGAACATCTGCATCTAAACCTAGTAATCTACTGTAGAAGAATCATATACAAATGAAAAATAATATAATCTACACATGAACCTTATATCACACATAGTTGTGTATATATAAAATAGATATAACATATATATTACACCCACATATTCCCTACACAATTATGTGTATTAACTAATTCATAAACAATTGGTTTTTGTATTCATGGGATTCTTTCTCAAATTCAACCAACTTTAACTGGAAAATATTAAGTAAAACTTTTTATGAGCTGAATGTGTATGAATCTTTTCTGTTGTTCTAATTTATTGAAGATCAGTAAGAGGGCTATTTCTGTAGTAATTACATTATGTTTGATTTTCAAATAATCTAGAGGCTACTTAAGATACATAAGATGATATATGTGTGTGAAATGCATATATATCCTTCAATTTAATATAAAGGAATTAAATATCATTGAAGTTTAGTGCTTGTGAGAAATCTTGGAACAAATCTATGATGCTGAAGACAGAAATGTATATGTTTGTATATGTGTACACTTCTCCCTGTTCATCTACTCCTGTGGGTGTATGTGTATGTGTGAATATATATATATATTCCTATGTGTTCTGTGTGTGCATATCTATGTTGGGTGTGTCTGGTCCTCTGCACTTGTGTATGTGTTTTATCCATTCACAACAACCTTATAAACTAGGCTTATCATTCTTTTATTGCAGAAAAAACATTAATTGCTAATGCTAGAGAATCTTCTGGAATCTGCATTCCTCATTTGAGAAAAATTTTATATTACTTGAAGGAAAGATTTGGCAAAATTTAGTGAAGGCTTCAGCAAGGCGTAGGGAAATTAGTAGATTTAGCAAACATGGACCAAGGCACTGCCCTGAAAGAGCAAGCGCTGACTGTAAAGCTGGATTTGGATGGCTGTAGAGGCTTCTTCTTTCATCTGTGACTAATTTAGGGAGGTGTTGATCAGACTCTTGTGTGAATGTAGAAAACTGTGATGAACTTTTATTGAATGATAGACCCAAGGGGGTTTTACTCCCATTGCTTCATTGTAGAAATAAGAAATTGAAGACAAGAGGGGGTGTCATTGTCTCAAACTGAAAAGCCAGAGCACATTGGGGCCAGGATTCAAATGAGGAAGACAGCACCAAGACCTTATCTCCTAACAGCTAAGATGATGTGCTAACACAGTAGTCTGAAAATAATGCAGTTGGGGGGACAGTCAGTTGTCATGGAAATACCATTAATTCATTAAGAGACCCTCACATTTATTGAATAATTGCACAGGATAGTGTTTCATGAAGTAGTAGAGGTTCAAATGGTTCCATTTCATTTCCCATGAGTCTCTTAGGCATTACTCATTATGTCCCCTTAGTATTTCTTGACCAGTTGTTAGAGTAGCAAATAATTTCTCAATCATGAATGTAGTATGTTTCCTGTTACAAAGCATACACAATCCATACAATATTATAATCCATGTGAGAACATAGGAAAGTTATACCTTTTAAAACTCCAGAGTAAATGGATTCTATTTTCGATTGGTGTCATTTGTGGGAAAAGAGGCCACACCCCAACCTCACTGGAAACAAACCACTGTCTCCACACTCATACACCCCAACTCCCACTCTCACGTACCCCAAGCCTCACACGCATGTATATGCACTCCAACTCTTATGTCATAAACCCCAGTTCTCACACTTGCACACCTAAGCATCCATATCAGCATACCCAAGCCAACCCCACAACTCAGTCCTTAAACTCCAGACCCCACAGCTACCCACACCCATCCTCGATACTTACTAATTGTTCCTTATCAAGAATGATTTCTACCCTTTTATGACAAGTTTCAATTTCTAAATTTATGACCCAGAGGCTATGGAGAATTTTGAAAGGACATGGAAAGCATTAGGGCTGAGCAAGGAAGAAGAGAGTCAAGAGAACTGTCTTGGGAAGGGCTGAGTATAGAGCCCTCTCCTGTTGAGGCTGAAAATTATGTTAATAGACCTCACCTGCTGTCTCTTGTTCCGAGAAACAGGGGCTGATGGCATTTGATATCTTCCCTCATTTGATATGTTTTCCATCTATCAGGACACAGCACACAAATCAAACATGTGACACACACACACACACACACACACACACACACACACACACACACACACAAATGCCCTGTTAAGATTTCCTCTAACTGACAACCTTAGAGAAACCATGTATTAAACTCTCCCAGCTGTTTTGTTTGTTTGTTTTAAGGCTACCTTTATTAGTGAACCTGTGTATAGCACTTACATAATGGGACTCTTTTAAGTCATGGCTTAGTTGTTCAGAATAGCACCTTTTTAGAACGCCTTTGCTCCTGCCATTCAAACAATTTGCTGTTACATAAAACAAACCACTATCACTCATAGTATCATAGGATTAAATTTAATTAACAAAAATATCAAAAGAACATAAAATTAGCATTAAGCAAGCAGGAAGTCAATGATATTAAGAACTCCTGGGGCATCTCAGTCCTTAAACATTACACTTACCTCATTTATGTCACTGATAATGTTTAAAATAATCCTCATTATCTCAACAGCCATCGAAGCTGCTTGCTGCTTTCTGGGGTTTACACATCTCCCAATTTTCCTCCCAACTATTCTGCTGAGTGAGCGAAGATAATGCCAGTCTCAGAGAGACCTGAGGTATGGAAGTGTGCTACCCAGTGGGATGGATAAGGAGGTGTCTTGTGTTTACAGATCTCTGGCCTCTGCTGGCATGAAGCACAGTTAGTACATAGTGGAGACAATTCATTTGGAGACCATATCAGTGATTCTGGTCTTTCCTCCCAGTGTACCCTCCCTTTTTATTTCCCTATTCCATTCTTCTCCCTCCTCCCTTCCTTCCTTTTCTTATTTTTTTTTCCATTTTGCTTTTCTTACCACCCAACAGGAGTCTTTATTATGTAGGAAAGAATATTATACTATGAAAGCCACTCTCCACAAGGGAAAATAAATCTAGTAACTAATACTGTGTTTCTTTAACAAACAAAAAGTAGGTTAACCTCTTTATATTCTGATCTTCTATTTCATATAAAACTGCAGGGATGAATTGTTTAAACAGCTCAACAGGAAAAGATGAAGCACGAAAAGGGATCACGAAAAAGGAGGGAGAGACCAAGAATGAGCTGGTTATTATGGTGACCATGACAGAGGAGTGAAAATCAATAAATACTTTATGGGGAACAGAGAAAACCTCCTCAACTTTAAGGAGTACAAAATCAAAGCAAATGACAATGTGAGGATATTTTGTATTATTTTTACAACAGACATGTGGAATTTGAAAACAATGAAGCAAACATTTATATCAACATAATATATGTTTATATTTAATAAATGCTTAAATAAATAAAATTTGAATAAAAATGTGTGTATAGTAAAACTTCAAGGAGAAATATAAAGTGATAAAAATTATATGACAAACATATTATCAAGACACTTTCAAAATTTCAACAAAGAAAAATTTTGTTGCATCCCAATTTTAAATTTGGAATTAAATAATGTTACATCCAGAGAATTTGGGATCATTTATTTTAGTTCTTGCTCAACTTTGTTTGCGAAAGTGTCTCACAGTGTAGCTCAACTTTGGCCTTGAATTAGATACACTACTTCCTCAGTGTTGACAGTACAGGTATATAAATGATATTCTCTCTCTCTCTCTCTCTCTCTCTCTCTCTCTCTCTCTCTCTCTTTCTCTCTCTCTCTCTCTTTCGTTTTCTCTCCCTCTCCCTTTACCTTTTTCTCTCCCTATCTTTCTCTCCCTCTCTCCTTATTCATCCTTTTCCATTTCTTAAACTAAGAATGCTTAACTGCTAGATTCTAGGAAAACATCAAGAAATATAAATCACACAGAAATCTGAGAGTTGAGGTTGTCATTCCTTCACATAGTGGGTGGTCAACTAGTACTGGAACTTTTTTTTTTATTAAATTGATTTATTTATTTTGCATCCTGACTGGAAAAAAAATATTTCCTCTCTCTCCTCTCTTCCCACCCCCTCCCCTTTTCCCTTTGCCTCGCTAATCCACTGCTCCCCTGATCTGTTCGGAATGGGACAGGCCTCCCATGGCTATCAACAAAGTCTGCAACATGGAGTTGCTATAGGACTAAGCACATCCCATGTATAAGGCTGGGCAAGGCAACCCAGTATAAGGATTAGGCTCCCAAAAGCCAGTCAAAGCATTACAAACAGACCCTGATCCCACTGCTAGAAGTCACACAAGTGGACCAAGCTACGCAACTGTCACATAAAAGTAGAGGGCCTAGGTCGGTCTCATGCAGGCTTTCTGTTTGCCCTTTCAGGGTCTTTGAGCTTCTATAAGCTCTGGTTAGTTGTTTCTCTGGGTTTTCTTGTGTTGTACATGAACTCTCTGGTTCATATAATCCTTCCTCTCTCTCTCTTAAGCAGGATTTCTTGAGATCAGTCTAGTGGGTCTCTGCACCTGTTTCCATCAGTTAGAGGATGAAGACTCTCTGATGACAACTGGGGTAGTAACCAATCTATGAGTATAGCGGAATATCTCTAAGGATCATTACATGGACTTTTTTTTTCTTCAACCATGTTTGTTTCCATTCTAGGCCTCTGTGCCACCCAGCCTCTGATTTCTGGCACTAGAGGCAGTAACAGGGGTGCAAGGGAAAATCTACAAGGATAACCCCAGCTAAGACTCCTAGCAATTGTGGATACACAGTCTGAACTGGTCATCTCCTGTGACCAGACAGGACTTCCATTGGGAGAATTGGGGTAACAAACCAGTCACACAACCTTTGACCTATAGTCTATCCTGCTTATGGGATGTTTTGGGATAAATGTGGTACAGAGATTGTGGGAGTGACCAACCAATGACTAGTCCTAGACCTATGTCTGGAGTGTGAGTACTGGAACTCGTTTATTCTACCCTGACATTGAGTATTTTCAATGTTTTCAATCAGTTCTCTGCCTTGTGCCAAGCTGGCAGAAATCCTAGAACTTCACCCCATGGTTCCCAACTTTAAGCTGAACTGTCCTGAGTTCACTCTGGTGTTTCTGTGATGTGGGATTCTCCTCTGTGTGCTGTTAATGTGTTCTTTTGTCACCGATTAATAAAAAAAAAAGCTGTTTTTGGTCAATGGTTTAACAAATTAAAGCCGGGAAGAAAATCCAAACAGAGATGTACAAAGAGAGTAGGCATAGTAAGAGAGAAACCATGTAACTGCTGAAGGAGACAGATGCCCAGGAACTTGACCAGTAAACTACAAGCCTCATGGTAAAAATAAAATGTGGGAGTCCCCTCTGTGTGCTGTGTTTACCATGAATGAATAAAGAAACTGCTTTAGACCTATAGCAAGGCAGGACTTAGGTAGTCAGGGAAAGCTTGAATGAATGCTGGCAGAAGGAAGTCAGAAATAGATGCCATGGAGCTGTCAGAGTCAGACATGCTGAATCTTTGTCGGTAAGCCACTGCCATGTTGTAATACACATATTAATAGAAATAGGTTAAATTAATATAAGAGTTAGCCAATAAGAACCTACAGCTAATGGACCAAGCAGTGTTTTAATTAATATAGTTTCTGTGAGGTTATTTTGGTTCTGGGCAGCTGGGACGAACAAGTGGCCTCCTTCTACAATAAAATAATAGGAATGGGTTAATTTAAGATATAAGAGCTAGTTAGAAATATGCCTAAGTGATTGACTATGCACTGCTTTAATTAATACAGTTCTGTGTGTTTATTTCAGGTCTGGGCTGCCAGGAACGAACAAACAGCCTTCTGTCTACATGCTTCCTCTCCCCTGCTCTCTGAGAGGACTGAATTGTTTTCCTCTTCCTCTGGATTCTTAACTGAAGAAAGATAAGATAAAAGAATGCTGGATGGTATTCATAGACACTCATAGTTTCTATGGCATGTAAGAAACTGAACAGTGCTGAGTGGTTAGGAATTCAGGAGGGAGGAGCATTTTGAGATGATGTTGGAGGCAGAAACCTGAAAGTGTGGAGAGAGAGGAAAGAAAAGGAAAAAGAAAAGAGGGGCCTGAAGGCTTATTATCTGGAATGAAGTATTGTATGGAACATACATCTCTAAATATTAGTATTTTGGTACTTGAAAATGGTTAATTTTTTTCAACATTGAAATCTATTAGAGATAGATACAGAGACGGGTAGACAGACAGGGGAGAGAGAAAGGTTAGTTGACATTCATACTACTAGGAAAACCTGTAAACCGTATTGTTCTCACAGGAATCGAATCAGTGGTACTGTGGGTATCTTTAGAATTAAAAGGTGGCAGAGTCTCTCGCTCTGAATGGATGGATCTGAGTAACATTAACCTTTTCACTTGCTCTAACAAAGACAAGTGAAGACAAGATGTACCATGACTGCTTCCTGGCTATTTTGTGTCTAGCCCAAGGCCCTCTGCACCTGACAATTATCTCACACTTCAGAACTAATTTTCTACATGTTTTCTTACACTGTATTTGCACTAACCCTACAATACACAATCTCATTAACTCATTTCTTTAAGGAAAGGAGCTTTTTGTGAGGATGTACAAGACATACTTATTCAACAAGATAATAATGGAGTATATCTTTATAGCTTTTGTTAATAATATTGGCCCCCATCCAAAGTACATGTGATTTTGTTCCTCTTTGGCTTTGTAAATATGACATTTTGTACTATTTAAAGCAGGAATGCTGATTATTTTATTCCTAGTCCTGAATTTGAGTGTTCAGGTTGGTCAGTTTTAGGCTGATGCAAAAATGATAGAGAAATACAATTGTAATATAGAAACTGACATTTCAACAGCAGTAATCTTATTAAATAAATATTTTTTAACTGACTTTGATAAATAAAAATACGTAAATTAATGTTCCATTGTGTGTTTATGAGTATGTTTAACAATTGAGAATTCGAGCAAGTAGCCAATTAGCTGGTAGCAATGATCAACTTTGATAACACAAAAATCTGTCTCATTGCGTTGCAGGTAACATCACTTGATCACTTAAAAAAATGAAAATATTTGTTTTAAGATAGAATACAGTTCTTCTAGACATCGTTAAGGACTACTCACCTAAGTGAACTGACAAAAATATAAGATATATACAAGTAGGGAGAATACAAATATTGTTTTTCCTTGAGTGTAAGCTTAACAGCAGTCAGCATTACACATTTATAAAAAGTACCAAGCCCAAATAAATGATTGAGTATCTAAATTTCACCAGAAAGAGCTCAACATTTATGTTTTGCTGAGAGTAAATTTTAGAAAGGACACTGTATATGATTCTTGTTCATACTTAGAAAGCTAGCTGATATAAGGAAGAGGTTGATAATGGGATGCATTCAAAAGAGAACAGATCTCATAGATGAGATGCAAGCTGTCTTCAATGTTTGATTGACTATCACATAAAAGAAGATTCCATTTTCTTTATCTTCACAAATATATAATTGATGAGGCTAAATCAGCGAGTTTGTGAGGCATAAGATTTTTCACTTTTCTTTGTTAATTTTTATTTTTAGGTAAAACATTAAATTATTTTCATTCTTATATCATTAATTTCATTTTATTATATGTTTTTTCAATGAGAACTAAGAATAAAATGAATAAATTGTTTAAACAATTATATTGCAAAGATGAAGTCATACATACTAAAAACGTTTCTGGACTAGTGCTTCTATGGGATATCTCAAAATTCCCATTTATGAATGGAAACACCCAAAATGAATATATGAATTCTCAGTAACTAAGGGACTCTTGTAGAATGAGGGGCCGGCTTGTTGGGGTTTCTGTCCCACCCCGGTACCCCACAACCGGCAACTCCCAAGGAAAATCAATCACACAGAGATCTCTATAAGTTATAAAGCTGACTGGCCCATTAGGTCAGGCTACTTATTAGCTCTTATAACTTATGTTACCCCATTATCCTTATCTACGTTAGCACATGGCTCAGTACCTTTTCCAGTGGGACAGCTTACATCTTTCCTCTCCAGTGGTCTGGGCAGAACTGGCAGAGGGAACTTTCTAGAATACTCCCAGTCTCTTTGCTCCACCTCTACTTCCTGTCTGGCTTTCCCGCCTATACTGCCTGCCTGGCCAATCAGCGTTTTATTAAAACATGATTGACAGAATACAGACAATTCTCCCACACCAGACCCTCAGTATACAAAGCTCAGAAAATTTGGAAAAGACAGAGGGCGACAGAATATACAAACCCACAGATAGAAAGGAGTTGCAAAATGTTGACTTCTGGACATGGTGTAGCTGTGGCACACATCAACTCGGCAGCCATGCCTACCTGATTAAGACCTGCACAGCCGCAAGCCAATACACATCCCACTGTATGCAGGAAGGGGGACTAGTGGCAGCTGATGATTTCTGGGAGAGGAAACGTTACTTTCATTTAAGGGATGTAGCCAATGGTAGGCTTCTCATGGTGCAGCAGATGGCCTCACACCATGTGCATATGGACATTACTAATTGGTCCCACGGTGTTATTAATAAAATAATAAAATGAAAAGACATGAAACTAGAAGGAAGATTGACGGGGAAACAAGGAGTTGAAAGGAGGTAGTAGTGGATAGACTTGATCAATATGTATTAAATAAATGTATGGAACTTTTCAATAATAAAGACATATTAAAAAGAAGTAAATATCAAATATAGTGTTAAATTTATCTACCATGAAAATTAAATGCAACTAGTTGCTTTAATCAACAACATATAAAAATTCAGTTCTGCTCATATTAAGGATGGACAGGGTAGATTAAAGAAATGTATTATTTCCCTTACAGTTTACCCACAGCTCCCTCCTTGGGGCTGTCATTCTCTAGACACATTCTCAGAGCTTATCAACATGCTCAGGTTATCACATCTTAACAAAACCAAATTTCTTCAATAATTCTACTACCATAATCCTATAATTCTATAGATATTCTTTTTCATCACTTTTGAATTCCAAAGGGAAATTTTAAGGTTTAGCCTATGAAAAATTAATTCTTTTCTCTATTTTGCTTCACAGCATCTTCTATGGCCATTATTCAAGCTTTATGCTCAATGTTAATTATTTTTAACCACTGGCCTGCCTTATTACTACAGTGGGAACTCCATTGATGTAAAAAAAAAAACCCTTATTTTATTTGTCTCTTTTATCTGCAGTTTACAGTTTGTTAAATGAAGGAAAGTGTGAAGAGACAGCCTTGCTCTCTGTTGAATTCCCCTGGGCCCAGCTTAGACCATGAAGTATTACTAGTTACTGTGTGTTTTGATTAATTTTCTCAGAGAAGGATCCATCTATGAATTATTTTATACACCTCCTCAGTCCTGTCATCCTATAACTCTGCAAGTCTGGTTGAGTAAAAGAATATAGAAATTAATATTGTAATTTATAGCGGGTGTCTCCATCCTTTATTATGAAGCTTATGGACCCTACGTTGATTCTCTTTGTATCTTGTAACATTACTCCACCCTGTGAAAAAAATCACAGTATTCTCTTAGTTATAGACAGCTGTTTATTGCTGTGAGCAGCCATGCTGTGTTACCATTCTTGCACTCCCTCTTGGTTTCCACAAAAATGTCCTCTTAGGTTGTATTTACTCAATGATTCTTCACACTTCTTTCTTGGAAGCTCATCTTTGTTCTGGCATCGAAAACTGATATTGAAAGCTTACTTAACATCTTGCTTGAAAATCCTTTTGTTAGAATCTACTCACCTTTCTTTATTTTTGGAGATTGAACAAGCATATGAAATGATTGATTTTTAGTAAAAGGCCAAAAAGGCCAAACGTTCTTCCTCTTGTGTCTCTGTCCCTTTGGAGTTGGAGTTACTAGTGGTTGTGAGCCACTGGATGTGGGTATTGGGAACTGAACGCCAACCCTCTAGATGAACAGTGTGTTCTCTTAACCTTTGGAGTCTTCTTTCTGGACCCTGTTTTCCATTCATCAACTAAATATCCACCCAGAAAAAAAAATCTTAAAGTATAGAGAAACAATTTTAGTACTTTCCATTGAAGTACTTTTATTGTTCATTTTGTTCACTTAGTTTTTTTGTGTGTTTATACACACACATTCATGCACACACACACATCACACATACTCAAACACAGACACACCTCTAATGTCTTTTCACATACATTGTTCCTATACCTACAGATAAATCTTATAGAATCAGTATATTTTCCTTAAGCATCCAGGTAACTTTCTTACCTCCCATTCAAAGTTTCCTTCATGCAATTTCCGATAACATTTTGTGCAAAGAAATACAAATTTTCTTTCTTGTTTATTCGTGTGTGTGTGTGTGTGTGTGTGTGTGTGTGTGTGTGTGTGTGCTAGTTGTTACATTGTCTTTCTCCTAATAGACACAGTGTACTTCTTTCATCTACTTTCACTATTAATAAATTTTACTCCTTTAAAAAAGTGCTGTATTTCCCTGACACCCCCGCCCCGTTCATGTGAGTCCTTCCTTCCTCTCTTCACCTGAACTTTGGGAGTTAAGTCCAGTGATTGGCTGTAGATCACTGCATCTGCTTCCATCAGTTACTAGATGAAGGTTCTATGATGACAATTACGGTACTCACTAATCTGATTATAGAGAAAGGCCAGTTCAGGCACCCCCTCCATTATTGCTAGGAGTCTTAGCTGAGGTCATCCTTGTGGATTCCTGAGACCTTTCGTAGCAACAGGTTCCTCCATGACCCTATAATGGCTCCCCCTATCAAGATATCTCTTTCATTTCTCTCCCTCTCTTTCCCTCCCCCGACTCAGTCATCTGGATCTCTCATGTTCCCATCCCCCATTCCCTCCATTCTTCCCCCTCCCAGTTTACCAAGAAGATATTAATCGTTTCCCTTTCCTAGGAATCTCCATTCATGCCCCTCTTAGGGTCTTCCTTTTAACAAGCTTTCCTGGGTTTGTAGATCATGATGAAGAAAACCAGAGAGACAGCTGACTAGAACTAGTGGGAGCTTACTGACTCCAGACTGACAATTTGGCAACCTGCATGGGACCTAACTAGTACCTCTGAATGTCTCTGATAGTTATGTGGCATGGTCTGTTAAGGGGAGCCCTGGAAATGGGACCAGTAGTTATCTCTAGTGCATGGACTGGCTTTTTGGAACCCATTACCTGGCTTAGCCTTGATAAAAGGGGGAGGGGCTTGGTCCTGCCTCAGCTTGGTATGTCAGACTCCATTGGCTCCCCAAGGGAGGCCTTATCACCTCTTAGGAGTGGTGGGGGGTGGGGAGATGGGACAGAGGTTTGGTAGGGGAAGCAGGAGAAAGGGAGGGAGAGGGAACTGGGGTTGGTATGTAAAATGAAAAAAAAAATGAATAAAAAAAGAGAGAAAAGTACTGAATTTCCAAAACAAACCCTTGAGCGTCTAGCATTATATGTTGCATGTTGTAGGCTTTCTCTAAATATTTTTGAATGAGTCCTTGAAATGACAGATTTACGAAACAGTCTCTAAAGAGACTGAAAAAGAAGAAAAATCCTTATGCAAAACAAAGAACATAAGATAGAATGAAAGACAGGACAGGTGTGCTTTCTGGAGGGAGCAGCACATTCCAGAATTGACTTCCATGGACACACCCATGACCTGAGGACAGCAGCAGGCTAGTGTGTTTAACACTGTGGAGGCACAGTTAGCTGATCTTTTGTGGAATGCACAGATAACAGCTGCCAAAAGGCTCAGAAGATAACTCAAAATGCTGTATTGATGAAGTTGTCCAAGGATATCCTTATTTAAAAAAAGAGTAAAGAAAACTATTTTAAATAAAATGCACTTTTTGAATTAACTTTTTAAATTTTTACCACATTTGTATTTATTTTGGTCTATG